TAAAAAAAAATTTTAATAAAAAAAAGAAAGTGTGCTTAGTGAGGCATTAGTATTCTCAATTGTACATATCATGTGGGTACATTATAAAAGTCAGTACAGAGCCCATTTTTCTTCAAGTTAATCTGTAGTACTACCCCATCAAAACTTCAATATACTTAATGCTTAATGGGACTAAAACAAAAAAATTTTAAATTCATCTACAAGGTTAAATAGAAACATATATTGAATTAGCCAAGAAATTTCTAAGTTGTAAGAGCAACAGCAGTAGCTATCATCACCTGACACTAAAATATATCATGAACTATATGGCAATAATGACCAAAAAAAATCACAATATGAACAAAATCAACATATTAATCTAAATGAATATAAGAAATGGTTTCTCTGTTAAGAGAAACAAACAGGCTAATATAATTCCAAAGATCTCAAGAATAAAGGTAAGTGTAAATGGATAAAACAACCTAATCAAAAGGTCATCGCTGGATGTGGGAGTACATCTCAGAGACAGAACCCAGAGCAAGAATATGTGAGGCCACAGGTTCAGTTCCCAGCACTGAAAAGCAAAAGCAAATGTTAAGGATGATACTGTCAAATATTGGGAACAGCAGAATAAGAGGTCCTGGGCTCTTTCAACCATGACTCATACAATAAATAATCATCTATTCATGTTTCAAGTCATGAATTGAGAAATTTTTAGACACTGGGCAACAGAGCAAACACATCAAATGAAAAGGAAAAGCTGGGGTACACTTGGACATAAATTTTTTTTTTTTTTTTGGCGGAACCGGGAATTGAACTCAGACTCTTACGCTTTCCAGGGAAGTGCTTATTCCACTGAGCCATTTCCCCGGCCCCAATGGACATAAATCTTGACTTGGGGAGTGTAACATCTAACATCACGCGAAGAGGAAGACTAAGATCATACATATAGCAACTAACTCTGAGGTTCACTGTGGATTGGATCTTAACACCTATCCTGGGAGAGGAAGGGAAAGGCATGCACAAGTCTCAAGACCAGAAGATCAAGCAAGGGCCCTCACAGTCCTCATCCCGAGGCCTGGGAAGATAAGGGGTTAAAACTCAAGAGGTGCCATTTTCGCCCTGGAAATGGTCTGTCAGCACACAGTGCCACTGCCCACAATGCTATACTAGTGAGTTAACGGAAAAAACACTACCCTCTGACACCAGACTCCAACGCAGCCAGCAGTACTCCGTAACTAGTTCTCCCTAAAAGGAGCCTGTCCCTGTACTAACTGTCCCAGCTTCAACACCTGCCACTCCAGGCATAAGTACTAAGCCCAGGCTGTAGGAGCAAGGGGACTGAGGTGTACATCTCCTATACCACGGCAGTAAGGGGATGGGGTCAAGCCCCAGGGCTGTGGGCCCGCACCCACGCTCATGCTCACGGGGACGGGACACCGGCCCGCACCCACGCTCATGCTCACGGGGATGAGACACCGGCCTGCACCCACGCTCATGCTCATGCTCACGGGGACGGGACACCGGCCTGCACCCAGGCTCATGCTCACAGGGACGGGACACCGGCCCGCACCCACGCCCACGGGGACGGGACACGGGGCCCGGCGGCTGCAATCGGAAGGGGACCCGGGGCCCTGGCATTTGCAGGGCGCAACTGTCACAGCCCGAGCGGGAGCGGGGCCCGGCTGTCCGCAGCTGACAGGGACCCAGGGCCCGGAAGACCGCAGCCCAACGGACTGGGGGCCGGCTGCGCGGAGAAAGGCCGAAGCCTGCGGACTCCCACGCGGACCAGCCGAGGCCCGACCCCGCCCGCCGGGGCCCCGGTTCACAGCCGCCGCCCTCTCTGGTCTCAGGACTCCAGGCCTCACTCACCATTTCCGGCTTCCGGGTTTCGGCGCCTCCCAGTGGATCTCCGACCCCTGCAGGTCACCAGAGCCCAGGGCTGCGAAGCGGCGACCTGCACTCCCAACCGGCCGCACACCAGACCTCAAAATGGCGGCTTTCGCCCGACGAGGACCGCCCAGCTGTGGCCCTCCCACCTTCTTAGCGGTGCGTCTGAGCGGACAGGCCTCACAGCGCCGCTTCTGATTGGGCAACTCTCGGGGCCCGCCCCCTGGGTTTCTGAATGACAGCAGGTGTTACCAATCCATGTCTGGAAGGGAAAATTGACAGGCTCTTGGCTGCAGCTTTATGTTTCTCTGGTCCCTGAAGTTGAAGGCAGGGTGTCCAGCTGAAGCCAATTTAAAGCAAAATATGCTCCCTGTGAGATGAGGTACTATTTTAGGCAGATAGAAACTAATACAGAGTCAGAGAGGAACTGGACTGTTAAGGAACTCTTCAGAAAAAATAAAGACATCAGAATTGTTCCAAGAGGCGCATGTGAAGGTCAGGTCTCCAGCTAAAGATGCTATGACCAGGTTTACAAGCCTCCCGAAAAGAAGAGCTATAACTTGGAATGATGCTGTAACTGGTATCACGTGAGCCAGTAAATTCCAGATAGACCAGAGCATCTGGACCCACGCCTTTACCAAAATCCCTTTGTTCTTTCCATATACCATCCCTATTGGACCAATATTAGTTAAGCTGCTGTAGTTGTAATCCTATAGGTTGATTGTACAGTGATCCCTCACTTACCACGGAGGTTACGCTCCAGACAGCCCTGCGATAATTGAAAATCAGCAAAGCAGCGACAGCTTTGTAAACCCTTCCCATACTTATAAACCTTTCCCACACCTTTTTTTTTTTTTTTTAATGTATTTTTGTTGTTATAGGGTCTCACTACACAGTTAAGACTCATAGTGATTCTGTTTTCAGCCACCCCAGCGCTGGGATTACAGGCGTTTGTCACTACACCCGGACACTCTGGCCTCAGCCCGCCCTGCAGATGAGGCTGGCACAGAATGCTGTCCCTGCCCTTTGCCTAAGCTTGCCTAAGCAGGCACGTTAGACTACTGAGCTATCTCACTGGCCCTCCCACACTTTTAACAACACTTCTGAAAATCTTAACCATTTTCTAAACTCACAAACCTACATAATTTTAACAACATCCGTATACAGCACTGTACACTACCGCAAAATCCCATAATATAGTGAAAAATCTATGATAAATATTTAGATTAATATTTTTTGAAACCCCATGAAACACTGAGACTGCAAAAGTCGAGCTAGAAATAGTGAGGGACTACTGTAGTTTGGTCCACGTTGTACCCACATTGTTATTTTGCTGTATAAATTACCCCTGACAAAGGTCCTCTGTGGCAATCTGGTTCTAGGACTCCTCCTGTCTCTCAGAACCATTCCTATTTCCCAATAATCCTTTCCTACTCTTAAATCCCTTTGTACTTTTAAATTCATTCTTTGATTTCAGGAGACATGAATTTAGTGAATCTGTCACCTTGCAAGTTGGAAGTTATATTTTCCCCTATATTAGTATCCCTTTGCATTTATCTTTGTTCATAAAGATATATGTTATTTACATATAGTGTGCACATCATTCATAAATGGAAAAGTATGACAGCTACTTTTAAATTTTACCAGACTTTTCTGTCCTGTGAAGAGGCAGCTTGAATTTTGAAATGAGAAATTATCTTTTAGGGCAGCAATGTAAAAAACACATAAATGTAGACACAATTGTGACTTTCAATTTCCTAACAGTCACTTAAAAATTAAAAGAAACAGATGATAATGGGCTTCTTGGGCACAGGAAAAAAGATTCTTGAGCCCTAATCCACAACTCATTTCCACAGGTGGTGAAGATAGGATTTTTCTCCCATATCCTCCCTTGCCTTTCCTTTTCACCTTGTGCTTACTGAGAGGGCCAGGTGTTCTGCAGCTGGCAGGGTGATGCTCTGAAGTCTCCAAGGAGAAGAATGAACACTTACCTTTATCTTACACAGGAAGAAATCTCTTAAAACACAAGGAGGAGGCTTCTTTAAAAGTTCATACACATCACCTGTAAAAGCCCTAGGGGCTTTAGGAACCCCATAAAGCCTGTCCCTTTCCTTTAAGAGGACCCCCTGATCTCAGTCAAAAATGTGCCCAGTAGCCCTTCTCCTTTAGCTGTGATCCCAGATTTCTCTTCAGATAAAAGACAATAAGAGACCCTCATACTTACTAGCCTGGCTTTGAATTTCCTTTACCACAAGATGTCATGGACCCATGTATGAGGTCAATAATTTAGCTCAATATATCCAGAATATTGTCACATGTGTTGCTGACATTTTTGCAGTCAATACCATTATGCCTTCTCTTATAAGTGAAGTTTAATGTAACTATTCCAAGTCAAAGAACTCATCCAAAACTCCAAAAGTATGAAGCAGCTGGTTGGGACTCAGGCTCAACTCTGCTTCACCTCAAAGCCCAAACATAGCTCTCCTAGATTCATGCAACTTCACTTGAGCACTTAGGTCTTAGACAATGATTTGCTCATAACTGTAGAGTTTGTGTCTATCTAGTACTCTTCAGCATTAAAAATAATCTCCTTGAGAGAATGTTTCTGAACCCTGCTTAGGCAGCCTCAGGAGTTGGAGGTACAATCCCCAGCCTGCCCCTGGCCCCACCCCCGGGGCGTGCTGCACCAGTGATTGAAACTGGGCATGGTGGCATGCACCTGTGATCCCTGCACTTGGGAAGCTGAAAACAGGAGAATCACTACACATCCAATCTGTGTAGTGAGACCCTGTAGATCCTGTACACCCTCCACTAAATACAGAGAGAGAGAGAGAGAGAGAGAGAGAGAGAGAGAGAGAGAGAGAGAGACAGGGACAGAGAGAGAGAGAGAGAGAGAGAGAATGCTTCTGAAGCATCTGAGAAGAACATAAAATAATTTGGGAAATATCTGAGGGTTGAATTTAGGGAAATGAGGACTAACGATATATTTTCCATTTCTTACTGTAGGAGAAATCTGAACACATGTATAATACTCACCACAAGCATGCTAAGTATTTTCATCCCTGTTTGGAATTTGTGTGCTGTTTATTATCTTTAACTCAAAATTCTTATTCCTGAAAAATACCCCTATTCTGAAAACCACCAGTACAACATAGATATGCTGAAAAAAGATTTGATCTTACTGCAGTTTCATTAGACAGCTGAGTCTGTCTTGATTTCAACAGTTCAAAGCTCTGTCTTATGACCCCCAAACTGAGATACTGCCAGGGAGTAAATCCCCATAGCACACATAGAAATCATATGCTACTAATGTACGTGGAACATAAAACAGTAGTTCTAATCCCTAGCTGTACATTAGAATCTTCTGGGAGAATATTTAAGTCTTCCAAAATTGAGTTGCAATTCACCAATAAAATCAGAATCCCAGGGGCCAGGGAGATGGCTCAGTAGAATAAGCACTTCCCTGGCTAGCACAAGGGCCTCAGTTCAAGCCCTGGTTCTGGGGGAAAAAAAAATCAGAATCCCAGTACTGGGGCCCAGGCTGAAATATTGTTTAATCCATTCCAGATGAATACAAAGTTAAGCCAGGCACCAAAACCATGGCTGTAAATCAGCCTCTCTTGAGGTATTTGGTTTCTTTGGTTGTTTTGTTTTGACTTTTAGACCATGTTAGTAAAACAAAAGGGCAAGGTTCACTTTGGGAAATTGATATGTGCATTTAATATATCTTGCCAGCCAAATAGCTCAGTAGACTAAAGCGTCTGCTTAGGCAGAGTGCCATGGTTGGGTTTCGATCCCCAGCACACCGTGCTGGTCTCACCCCCAGGGTGTGGGAAGCCATTAACTGTTATCCATTTTATAATAGTGTCAGCCATTTTCTTAAGTTTCTATTCCCCTGCTGAGTTAAGTTTATGGTCCTTCCCATCTTGCCCATTCCCCATGAATCACGTGCATTGCCCCAGGGGTTGCACCTTCCCCATTGTCTAGATACCTGCTGACCCCTAGAGTTGAGACTTCCTCATTCCTACACTCCCTATATATACCCAGCACCTCCCCTGAATAAACGAGATTTGATCAGAATCCTGTCTTGTCTCCATTCTTTGTGTCTCCTGTCCCTTCTCATCCCCACTCCCCCTCTAGGGTCCTCGTTGACTAACTCGTGGGGCTGGACAAGTGGTGCCCAATGTGGATTGAGAACGGGGGATTTCGTGAGGGACACTGAGGAGCCGGCACAGAATTTAGAATAGAGGCTCGGTCAACGCAGGAACCTGTTGCATTTTCCAGGCTTCAGTAAGTGAACAGCAATTATGTGTCAGGAAATAAGCCAGCATGAAATGTTTGTTGAAAGTTTAAGTAAGGTGTTATAACTCAAAAATCAGATGACAATGAGGCAAGTCCAAAAGTTAAAGAAGCGCTTTATTTTAGCTGGTACCCAGTAGCAGACACCCCCCCAAGATGCTAAGGTGTGTGCTCAGGAGGGGAGAGACAAGGGTTTTTAAGGCTGAAAACCGCAAAGGGGAGGCCTTATGATTTGAGTGCAAGGGAATGCAGCACAGGAGTTAGCGTCCACTTTTGGGAAAATAGATTACATACAATTTTTAGGAACAAATAATTACAATTTATGGTTCGGTGTTGATTATAGGACATATTGTGTGGAGTACTCTGGGGTAAAAATAGTTCAGATCTCAACCTTTGACACACTGTGGTTTAGAACAAAGGAATGGTTTGAACATTAACAAACTGTGTTCAGAGGTCCGATGAATGGCTTGAGCCATCAAGATGGAGTTTAAGTTGTCAGCTTATACCAAACAATCCTCATTAATAAAGTTACAGTGGACATGTACAGAAATGTATAATACAATGCCCATTTTGGTTACAAAATGGAGTGGGTATTTAAGCCAATAAACCACAAAAGCTGACCTCAAGGGTTTATCTTGGGGCTACAGTTGAGAAATTACTTATTTCTAATGAACAATAACAAGTGCAGTGGTGGTTACAGTTTGTAGCTGGGAACGAGGGTGAGATCAGGGCATTGGGCCGAAACTAGATTCAGGTGCGCACAAAAGGGCAGCGTGAGAAAGGCCCAACTGCAGGTTCTCAA